TTATGCAGTCTTTAAAACTGACGGTACAGAAATACATTTACTGATATATAAATATTTTTACCATATTTGATGAGAAAAAAGAAAATTACAATAGAATATATATAGAAAATTTCATTCTTTTATAAAAATAAAATCACATACATATAAAAATACAAACAAATTACACACACACATCCACGTAAACAGTGGAATGCTTGAATTGGCTCATACTGACTCGAAAGAGCTGACTGTTAAACAGGAAATTTTTGAGCCAGTTGTTTAACAACTGGTAGCTTGATCAGACATGATGGGAATACATGCATTACAGAATCTGCAAATCCTGAAAATCGGGGCTTGTTTTCCCCAACAGATACTTTGCAAGCACACCACGGTAAAAATATTATAAGAATATGCAACAGAACATTATTAATTGTTCTCTTATGCAGTCAAATTAGAGGTTTATTTTCTTCATTGTGCTTATCTGTTTTCTACTCTGTCATCTCAACAAATATGTTTTCCTTGTAAAATAAAATCAAGCTTAGAGTTTTTAAAGACTAAAACGAACAAACAAAACACTAGCACATGCCAAGAGCTGAATGAATGAATTGATGGTTCAGAAGAAAAAACAATTCTCTTGATGCTGAGGAAGGGGCAATATAATGCAGGAAGCATTCACAAAATTGTAGATGAAATTGAACTTCAGTGATCGATCAATGGAAGTGAAAGAAGGTCCCAGAATGAGCTAATGGCTCAGGTAGCCCTAAAGCCCAGGTAGACCCTCCCGCAATCCACTGTTTTTCCCAGGTAATACATTTGTCTTAGAACAGAATTCTACACGTAGTAAGTGTTTAACAAATTTGTGAAAGGCCCCGAGACCTTCCACCACTACTGGTTAAGAAAATTGATAATAAGAAACAAACAACTGTTCTTGGAATTCTGCAAGACTCATCCAATTAATCGAAATCTGTTTTTGTTTTTGTTTTCCTTGAGAGGTTGTCTAAATAAACCCACAAATTAGATACTTTCATCAAAATCATTCAAGGTAGTTTTTCAGTATCATAGAGACCAGGGGTCAGCAAACTTTTTCTGTAAAGTACTCATAAAGAGTAAATGTTTTAGGCTTTGCAGGCCGTGGTCTCTGTAGCAACTAACTGCTCAGCTCTGCTTTTGTAGCGTGAAAGCAGCTGTAGACACATAAACCAAGGAGCATGGATGTGTTCTAATAAAACTCTATTTTAAAAAACAGGCAGTGGGGGGATTTGGCCTGTGGGGTACAGTCTGCCAACCCCTGATGTAGATAATCAACATGTTAATCCATTTTTCTCACTTTATTCCATTTCCAACCATCATATATACCATTTTTCAAGTATCACAGCAGGAATTTATTCCTTAGCTGAAACCATGCATGTTGGTACCAGAACTAATAACTTGTGATACCGGAGGCCCTAATAAAGATACTTTTTCCAAAGAAATAGTGACTATGATTTCCTATAAACCACATTATCTTCATATGACACACACGCTCTGAGAGGCGACACAAGATCTAGACTGGTTAAATAGAAGACGCTGTCAGACCTTTGAAAAGCCACTTAATGTTACTGAGCCTCAATTCCTGGACTGTACACATAAGATAATGACAGTTAGCTCACAAGGTTTTAGAGTGGATGGGATTAAATACTGTATGTAAAAGCACTTTCTGAATGAAAAAATAATGGTCTTCAAATATTATTATTTTGAATTCTTTTGAAAGTATACTATAGAGAGACATACTGTGGTGAATAATTCTGCAATGTTCTATAAAATTTTTGAAACTTCTTAGCCTTTATCTTATAAACCCAGATTTTTCATGGGCCACTGCTTCCTCATTATACCAGTAATAAAAACGGGAGAAATTCACTGAACTTGTAATTCATTTATATTTACTTTCCCCAATTAATTTATGACAATTATTAACATAACTGTAAAAGAATGATAAAAAGTTTTAACAGTTTTTTTAAAAACAATTTTTTGGTAAGAGATGTATTCCAGAATATCTATTTAATTCACAATAACATTTTCCTTAAAACTGAAAAATAAACTCAAGGCATTACCCAAAGTTCATATAATTCAAACCCAGCCGCAAGCTGAAACAACCATACAAACTGTAATTACGGTTTTAAATATAAGACTGATATAAATACAATATGGTGCTCTCCCAAGCCTCCCTAAAGAAAAGAAACAGCAGACCCTAATTAGTAGTATTTAACTCATAATCATCAGTGTGACTTATTGCAGTTTAACTGGGCCATCATCCTGCGTGAACTCAAAAACAGCATCCACCTAAAAAGAACGTGAGTGTGGCTAGTACCCACCCAAAGATAAATAGAGCTAACTGTCCAAAAACAATTTAGTACTAGTTAACTGATAAAGGAGGGAGGGAACACCTTTGTTTGGGGAAATAATATTGATCTTTATGTAAGGCTGATGTCTTAGAGTTAAATAGAATCAAACAGTCAGCAGGAAGAAATTCCAGTAAGATCTTAAGTCATGCTAATACACAACAACAAATTGCTTTTCTTTTCATCTGGAATTAACAACCACATTTTGTGTATCTCAGTTCTAAGGTCATAGGTCCAAGTATCCTTGAAATAAATGAGCTGCATGAGAATGAGACGTCTTGAAACTGTGTATGGGGGTGTGGGGGGGGGAGGGTAATGGGAACTATCTGGACTTTCTATAAACCTAAAACTGCTATAACAATAAGTCTACTAAAAAAAAAAAAAAAAGAACGAGAGACTCCGTGTTGATGGAAAGGGGTTGCTTATTGTTGTTTTTTAATCTTTTATGCTGGTTTTCCTGAGAAATACAATGACCCCTTCAGAACTTTCTGGAAATAGGTATTTTTACGGTGTTGAAACTCTCTATATAACTGAGAAGTTCTCTCTTCAAAGAACCAAACTTTTTATTTTCTTAATAAAATTAAAATACTTTTATGGTAAAAACTGAAGAATATATAAAATTATATAATAAAGAAGAAAAGTATATACTTTTCTATATTTTTCAAAATTAAAATCACCCATAACCCCACCATCCAGAAATTACTACTCTTAACATAATGTATGCCTTAAGCTCAGGTTTATTCTTGTAATCCTTTTATTATATATAATATTATGTCATTGGCTTTATCTTGTGTTACTCCTAGTGTTTAGAAACACTTTAAATGGCAGCAAGGATAGGGTATTATCATTTACTTGGATGGCAAGTGAGGTTGTATTTATGTTTTTTATTTTGCCAAGATGACCAAGCTTTTTCTTAATTTAAGATGGAACTACTGATAAGATGCACTACCTGCTTCTCTGCTTTCTTTCACAGACCACAGGGTACATAATTAACCCAACTCAATTTTTAAGAAGCCTTGGAATTGTGGCCTGGGGCCTCATTTTCCTCTTCTATAAAATGTGGACCATTGCATCAACCTCGTGGTGAGGATTCAATGAACTGAAGCATACACTATGTACCACACCACCTAGCACAAGAAGCATTTGAGAAACGTCAGTTCCCCTTTCCCTGTCACTCTTTTTAATCGTGATGAGTTTTCTTTTCATAGAGGTTAAGAAATGACGAGTGCTTTGCCTAAAGTCAGATGACACTTATCCAGGGCTTACTCGGTTCCAAATGGCTCCAGGTTGCAGGGCTTTTTAAATTCCCCTCACTCCCTTTCCCTTTTACTTTTCCTGACTAGCTATCAGGACCTCAGTAACAACCTCTCACTCCTACCAGTGTACCTGTTTCTCTTTCTTTCTAGGATTCTGAGGCTTCTGGAGCCTGGGAAACTTGAGGCTTCTGGAGCCTGAGAAACTTGTTCACCAAGTTTGCTGTGACTGAGTGTAAACTACAAGTCAGTATTCTGAATGTCCACTGGGATGGTTCTTTAATATAAGGTGCAAAAGTTTTATAATAGGGCTTTGTAAAATCTATCTTGCTATTCCGTGTGTGTGTGTGTGTGTGTGTGTGTGTGTGTGTGTGTGTGTAAGAATGGGTGGGAGAGAGGGAAAGGGGTAGAGGCAGAGACGGTGAGAGGAGGGGAGGGGCCCAGGGAGAGAGATTGACTGATTTCCTGGTAGGAAAGGTTCCTGGCTAGCTGAATATTCCCGCAGCTGAGGTGTGTCTCCAGCCTTTCTAGCTCTTCAAATTCCTCTGTCACCTATGTCTAAAGTTCAGTATTATAAATTTATTTCCAATCCAGATACACACCCTTTGTTTTGCTTTCTCTATAGAGATGAAAGATAAGAAAACAAAACACTGCAAACTTCCTTCAAGGTCCTTAGATAAGCCAGTCTGTTTCATTACCATATACTTCTACTTGCTTTGTGCTAATAAAAAGTAATTTCCAGAAATGTCACTAACAGTTTTTCTTTGCTTCACACACTGCCAGTTTTTCTCTTCATGGGTATCAGCTTTAATGACTATGTTTATAAATTAGGCACGGCCAGATGACATTTCTACAACCCCATATGTTTCCACACGACGCCACCAAGACAAAAGAATGGTGCGTGGATTTCTAGACTTCTAGATGAGAATTAAATAAATATTCGTAAAGCGCTTAGAACAGTGGCTGGTACACGGGAAGCTCCATGAGTTTGATAAAATTACCTGCACACGCTTTTGCTGTAACCGTGGCTTACAACACACTTCCCAGGGGTTTGTGACCGCACAAGGCAGTCCTGCCAGAGCCCAACGGACCGCAGAGAAAGCCATGTATTTTATGAGGATGAACTACATGAAAATGCTATTTCTGTTGGTCAACTTCAGCTGATTGTTGGCAATTTCATATGATGGCACCTAACCGGAATGCAGCTTTATCACCATTATGCCAGCATTCTGTCTCATTCCTGTGACTGGAATGTAGGGCCAAGGGGTGGGGCGGGCTGTCCCTGTGCCCAGCCTTGAGTGCAGCCACCTGTCCCTCCCGGAAGGCCACCCCCCTCCGCTCGGCAAGGGGAGGGCTGTGGCCAGGGGCTAGCTCTGGGTTCCCCACGCACCTGAAGAGGGGCCCGAACTGCAGCAGATGCAGCAGCAGCACGAGCGGACGGTCGCGGCTCAGGTCGCGGTG